CCATATTGCACCAAAGATGCCGACAAATGCTTCACTCTCTTATAAAACAAATCTGACTTTACAAAAATAGCACATACTCACTGAAGATGGCAAAATGCCGAAATCATCTGAACAACCCAGTGCGTGGTAGGCAGATCAAAATCTCGTCAAATTTACCTCATTTGTTTGATAAAATGTTAAAAATTTGTTTTCCTACTTTATATTTTTCAGCGAAAAATATCCAAAGGACCAGAATGGGAGACTTCATTATAAATAAACTAAAATATTTCAGAGATCTTTCTTTTATTTTTTTATTTAATTTTATTTTTTAGCCTTTTACATTTTCTGCAATTGTAATGCATCTTCATTTATAAATATATCATAAATAAATATAATAAATGTATGTTTGTTGTACGAACATATTGAAGCAAAAATAATAAATTACATAACTACCAATATATAATGATAAAACAAATAAATACACAATTAAATAAACACACAAATAAATAAATAAATACTCAAATAAATACAACGAACATACATAATTTACACTTTCACTCCAGCAGAACGAATAAATTGTAATATTACAGTGTATCCATTTACGTTTTAGTGGACAATTGACCAAATTACTTCTTCCAATTAATTATTCTTTCTATGTAAGGTATTGGCTGAGATAAAAAAATCAGTGTCACGAACGGGATTCGAACCCACGAACTTTCGGGTAAATACGCCGCTACTCTCCCACTTGAGCTAATGTGGCTTCTATCGTCTTCTGAAGTCACGATAGCTCAAGTGGTAGCGGCGTATTGAGCCGAAGGTCGTGGGTTCGAATCCCGCTCGTGACACTGACCTTTTTCATTAAAACCAAAACCTTACATAAAAAGATTAATTAATTGAAAGAAGTAATTTGATCAATAGACCATTAAATATAACGGATTCCTAATGCAGATTAGTTTTATTACATCCTTTTAATTATATTTGCTAAATTCTCAGTTATTTTCCCCAACTATGGTAGGCAAATAGTTATTCTTATTTTCTATTCCATAGTTTTTCGATTTCTAGATTTGATTAATTCTTAATTATTATTTATTTGGATATATATTAGTTATCTAAAATGAATAGGTCAGTTTTAAGATGTCTAATTTTTTTTACGGATTTGGTAAAATTATCAAAATTTATCGTTTATTTTTGTCTTAATAAAAATTCATTGAACAAAACCGAGCGGTTTTTTCACGACAGTACGAAAATACACTGGAGCATTTATTACACTACAAACACTGTCGTTCAAAAAATATTGTTTTGCGTGTTGTTGAGTGCTTTAATTTTCAAAATTACCGCTTTTATTGCATCTTTATTTGACTCAGGACATTTCTTACATACATAAATTACAGGGTTGACATCCGGTGGCATACCGCAGTCGTACGTAGTGGAGTAATTGCATATTTGCACAGTTAACGGATGCAGCATAATGCACAACTTAGGCTAAAAGTTTATACCTCGATATGAGAATATTAAAACTTGACGTCTTGAAATAGTTTATTTTATTTTATTTTTCACTCTTCGAATTGAAAAAAGTACTGAAATACTCTTTTGTTTGGTGAAACTATTATATAAAATCGGATAGTCGAAAAAAGAAACATGCTTAATAAAACATTATTGCAAGAAATTATCATCCTGCACGTTATCGTGCTTTAAAAAAATAGAAAAACAGAACTGAAACATTTAAATATTTATAGGCAGAAGAATTGTGCACCGAGGTAAGATACGCCTATAAATATTTTAAATAATCCGTACAATTATTCGGAGATCGTGAGATGCGGTCTGGTGTGACGTAGATTTTAGAAAACCATTTTCTTTATCGTGCCAACGTTTCGATCTTTATTGAGATCATCTTCAGGGCTCAAAGTGTTTGTTTTCTGCGTAATTGTGCCATTCTTGTGTGTCGTGTTGAGAGTGCCCAGTGCACAATTACGCAGAAAACAAACACTTTGAGCTCTGAAGGTGGTCTCACTAAAGCTCGAAACTTTGGCATGATAAAGAAAATGTTTTTCTAAAACCTACGTCACACCAGACCGCATCTCACGATCTCCGAATAATCATTGACTAACGGTCACTAACCACACATAATCCATATCTGTTTAGCGATCATAATTGACAATATTGATTATTCTAATTATTTATTCTTTTTCAACCAGGACCTAAGATAAAAGGAACAATTAACTGGAATTTTAAATGATCATTATTACAACCTGTTGCTTCACAATTCGTAAGAAAAGCCCTAAGGTTTCAAACTTGTTTGTATTGTTTATGATTCGTGGTTGTTTTCTATTAGGTGAGTCGCGTAATTCGATTTTCCTTCGTTGGCCCTGAATTGGTCCTGTCTGCCCGATTTGACTTTGCATTCATATGTTAGTGTAATATTCCGTTTTCCAGTTGGTCTGTGTTTTTTGTCTAGCCGATTTTTGTCTTAGTAATTTTCCTTTGAGTTTGTAGTTTTCAGTGCTCTGTTTTGCCTAATTCGTCGAATAAATTAGTTTGTACATTTCGTTCCTAATACGTGTACCATTTAGTGTCGGTTTTTGTCGTGTTGTTTGGGAGGCTGAAGAAAAAGTTCTTCCTTACATCCCGGGCTCAGAGCGATCGAGCCAGGGAAATGGATTTACAAGCATTTTCTCTCCTATGCCGCAGTTCTTCTACTTGCTGAGTTATGATTGGCTAGACAGGGTTTTTTCAATAGACCCACAGAAAATAGTCAAATGGAGGTAAATAGGGTGACCGAGGAGGCCATCACATCGGGTCATGAAGTCCTATCCACCTATCCCGGAAGTGACGATTCAAATAACGTCTCACCTGCAAAGAATTGTATGCGGGCATCCATCAAGCTGGGGAATCATTCTTTGTTGCGGAGGAACATCATCTAATAGTGTCGGTAAAACCTACCTCAACAAATTGAAGAACTAAGCTCCATTTAAATTATTTTCGTAGAAATAGGGCCAAATTAATTTATATCCGAGAAATCCACACCAAACGTTGATACTTTGAACCACCTGATGATTTCAAGAGTACGAAATGCTCAGATTTTCTTTTGCCCACGTTTAAAACTTCCAACGGTTTAGTATGCCATTTTTTGTAGAAACATTATACAGGGTACCTCAGGCCCAGTTCAACGTCAAAATTTCAAATATGACTATGACACATCATTTTTAAGGATTTTTTTAAGTTGAAAACTAAGGTGCTATCGGTTTTTAAATTGGGCTAAAAGTGACAAGTTATGGCAAAAAGTTTTTAAAAAAGTCATTTTGTTTGCTATTTATTAATCACAACCATGTTCGATCTGTCTGCCTCGCGTAAAGATTAACCACGCTTCACTGGTGCTTAGAGCGATAGAGTCAGGGGAGATGGATTGACAAGCATTTTCTATCCTTTGTCGAAGTTCTTCTACTTGCTGGGTTATGACCGGCTAGGCAAAGTTTTTTAAATGGACCCAGAGAAAATAGTCATATGGAGTTAAATCGGGGACCTAGGGGGCCATGAGGTCCTATCCTGGAAGTGACGATTCAAATAACGCAATTGCAAAGAATTGTATGCGGGCATCCATCAAGCTGGGGAATCATTCTTTGTTGCAGAGGAACATCATCTAATAGTTTCGGTAAAACCTACCTCAAGAAATGGAGGAACTAAGCACCATTTAAATTATTTTCATAGAAATAAGGCCAAATTAATTTATTTCCGAGAAATCTACACCAAAGGTTGATACTGTGAACCACCTGATGATGACAAGAATACGAAATGCTCAGATTTCCTCTGCCCACGTTTGAAAATTCCAACGGTTCAGTATGCCATTAGAGATGAACTTGGATTCATCGGTCTATAGGATGTATGGAAGAACTTTTGCTTCAGCCTCACAAATCGACATTCGTGCAAGAAACGTGGGACGCCTGTCAAATCATAGTCTCTAAGTCCCTCGAAAAGAGAGCGATACGACTTAAAATTTTAAGTCCGGAGGAATTCGAATTTTCGCGAAGGTACAGTCAAATATTTCAATTAATTAAGGTTATTAGGTAAGATAAAAAAGTCAGTGTCACGAGCGGGATTCGAACTCACGATCTTCGGCTTGATACGCTGCTACTCTACCACTTGAGCTATCGTGACCTTGATCCACTCGGACACTAACTTCCCATCTCAACCACACCTTTTGAATTTTCCCTCCTTTTTGCCATTTTTCAAATGTCGTGTAATCAAATTGGATTCTCGGCGACAAATGAAATGGCCACGGAGAGCTTTAGTGAAGTATACTTCATTTTAAATCATTAAATTCACTAATTTCGTGGTCCGCTTGACCAATTAATATATTACAATTAATTAAGGTTTTTAGTTGAGATAAAAAAGTCAATGGCACGAGCGGGATTCGAACCCACGATCTTCGGCTAGATACGCCGCTGCTCTACCACTTGAGCTATCGTGACCTCGATCAACTCGGACACCAACGTTCGAATCCCGCTCGTGCCATTGACTTTTTTATCTCAACTAAAAACTTAATTAATTGTAATATACTAATTGGTCAAGCGGGCCACGAAATTAGTGAATTTAATGTATTGAAAGTGTTAAATTGGTTGAAAAAATATTTAATTTGACTGAAAAATGCTATATATGGAAGCAGATTGTTTAGATAAAATGTAGCTATTCTTGTAGCTGTTCTGTGTTGTATTTAAAAAGTATCTTTTTACGGGTAACTGTATTTGACAATTTTCAACAGGTCGGTGCGACTGCCGCGTTAATAGAGCATAACCGGCGACCATATCTCGTCGAGGGTCTCTTGTAAATCCAAGAAGGACACTCTGGAGACAATTTCGCCCAATCCGAAGGATGGGAAATATTTTTTTCCAGGGCTGGAATTGAAAGTCTGAGGGTTGTAGGAGGGATAAGAAAGCCGGTGGGGGCGAGGCCACGCCCTCGCGGAGGAATACTCGTGAGACGGACAGGGGTTGCCACAGCGCCCTTAGGGCCTTTTCCCCACTCTCGCCCTCACCCCCAAGTCGAGATTATTTAAATTGCTCATGATGTCTGGACTGAGAGGCCTCTGGGGCGCGTCATCAGCTGATCATAAATCATTGTTCGGTGTCGTTGGGATCGATAGGGTTGTGGAATGTCGTGACGTCATATAGCCAAAAGGACAGGTAAGTCAACCGCCCGCCCCCGACCCCCTCATGACTCGATCCTCAACTTTCACCCCCTAGGGGCTCAGAGAACTCTCTTCCTTGCGACGTCAACATCCATCAACCGTCAAAACATTAATACTTACCTGACTTTGACGTTCCTTTATTAACTCATTAATTATCTAAATCAGCATGCTTTGGCGGATCCTCTCTAAAATTCTACCGCATATTTGTTTATTTCCTTAATGGTCCAGCATTTAAATAGATAGAGAAAATACATTATTTTTAGACTTTAACTTCAAATCTTCAAAACTGTATTTCCCAGTCATTTCCCATCAACTTTTCTAATGTTTGAACCAATTTTCCAGTTTCATTTTTAATAAGCAACCTAACAGTGTTTTATTATTGAAAAATTACATCAGTTTTATTACATAGTATATCATACTCCAGACATATCCAATATTCGTAACCCTTATTCCCTCTCACTGAGAAAAAAACTAACTAAATTTGTCAAACATTTCACAACTATTTCCAGAAATATTGAACGTCGGGTTATCTTTCGACAATTAATCGCAAAGAACCTTTCCTTTCAATAACAAAGTGGGCAAAACGTTCTATTATTTCTTCACGTAAAATGTTTTCTTCTAGATAAATGTGTGGTGATTAGTGACCGTTAATCGATAATTATTCAGAAATCGTGAGACCAGACCGCATCTCACGATTTCTGAATAACTTCTAGATAAAGTTTTCTTCTCTCTCTCTTTTCTATATGTGCATCTATCTAACTTTTTTCTTACTTTCTCCCACTTGATCACTTTCTTTCTCACTTTTCTCTCTCTTGCTTTCTCTCTTTCTATTTTTGTACTCTCTTTTGTTTCTTTCTTTCTCTCTCTTTTATTATCTTAGTACTTCTCAAACTTTATTTTCCTTTTCGTTCTCTCTCTCTCTCTCTCTCTCTCTCTCTCTCTCTCTCTCTCTCTCTCTCTCTCTCTCTATCTATCTATCTATCTATCTTTCTTTCTCTTTTTCTCTTTCTTTTTATTCCCTCCGCTCTCTCTCTCCTTTTATTTCTTTTTCTCTTACTATCTCATTCTTTAGTTCATTATTACTTTCTCTTTTTCTCTCTCTTTCTATTTTTGAATCTCTTTCTTCCTTTCATTCTCTCTCTTTATTTCTCTAAAACGTATTTCTTGTCCTCTCTCTCTGTCTCTTTTATACCTTATCCTCGTGTTTCTCCAAATCTATTTTCCTTGTTCGTTCTCTCTCTCGTTGTCTCTCTCTCTTTCTCTCTCTCTCTCTCTCTCTCTCTCTCTCTATCTATCTATCTATCTATCTATCTATCTATCTATCTATCTGTCTGTCTATCTATCTTTCTTTCTCTTTTTCTCTTTATTTTTATTCCCTCCTCTCTCTCTCTCTCTCTCTCTTTTTATTTATTTTTCTCTTACTATCTCATTCTTTATTTCATTATTACTTTCTCTTATCCTCTCTCTTTCTATTTTTGAATCTCTTTCTTCCTTTCATTCTCTCTCTTTATTTCTCTAAAACCGATTTTTTGTCCTTTCTCTCTCTCTCTCCTTCCTTCTCTCTATTTCTATTTTTGTATCTCCCTCCCTCTCACTCTCTCCCTCTCTCTTTCTCTCTCTCTCCTTCCCTCTCTCTATTTCTATTTTTGAATCTCTCCCTCTCTCTCATTCTTTCTCTCTTCCTTTTATTACTCTCTCTCTCTCTCTCTCTCTCTCTCTCTCTCTCTCTCTCTCTCTTTTAATACCTTATCCTCGTGCTTCTCCAAATCTATTTTCCTTTTTTAGTTCTCTCTCTCTCTCTCTCGTTCTCTCTCTCTCTCTCTCTCTCTCTCGTTCTCTCTCTATCAATGTTAAACTACCTCTGTTCTCTAAATCACTATCTTTCCTTTTCTCTCCCTCTTTTTTCTTTATTTCTCTTTTACTATCTTTATCGCTTTATTTCACTATCACTTTCTCTTTCTCGCTCTACCCCTCTTTCTATTTTGTATCTTCTTTTTGCTTTCTTTCTCTCTCTCTTTTATTATATTATCTTAGTATTTCTTCCAAATCTATTGTTCTTTTCGTTCTCTCTCTCTCTATCTTTCTTTCTCTTTTTCTCTTTCTTTTTATTCCCTCTCTCTCTTTTTCTTTATTTTTCTCTTACTATATGTTTCTTTATTTCATTATTACTTTTTCTTTTCCTCTCTTTTTCTATTTTTGAATCTCTTTCTTCCTTTCATTCTCTCTCTTCATTTCTCTAAACCTATTTTTTGTCATTTCTCTCTCTCTCTCTCTCTCTCTCTCTCTCTCTCTCTCTCTCTCTCTCTCTCTCTCTCTCTCCTTCCTTCTCTCTATTTCTATTTTTGTATCTCTCCCTCTCGCTCATTCTTTCTCTCTTCCTTTTATTTTGCTCTGTCTCTCTCTCATTTCATTCTCGCACTATTTATCCTTTTCTCTTTCAGTTTTGATTTCTCTCTCCCTCTTTCTCACTCTCTCTCTCTCTCTCTCTCTCTCTCTCTCTCTCTCTCTCTCTCTCTCTTCCTGAATTTAGACGTAAAAGTGGTCCTTGTCCAAATCTTGTGCGATCAATAATTAAATCGTTCGTTCATTCTATTTTTTATGATTTTAAAATATTTATTAAGGGAGCCAAGGTGATGAAGCGAAGTTTTAGTTCGACTTCCTCCCTCGACCTTCCACTACATTTCAACGTTTCGCGGTGCCTTCGAATTTCACGAATTTCAATCCTAAAATATTTATTATAATATTTTTTAAATTGTTACCCACGCTGTACGTAAGAGATACTACTACTTCTTTGTGGAACAATAAAAAGCCGTATCATGTCAAACTTGGTATGATCGATATGGGACTTAATTTTATAATTATATATAAAAATTCGGGATAAGGCACATTTGAAAGAAAAAAAAAAACATGCAGTTCCTTCGTGGGTTCATTTGGACAAAAGACCTGTGTGTTTTCAATTGTTTTATGATATCTCGGCTTTTTTATATAATCATGTCATATCATATCGCTTTCTTTCTCTCTTTATAACATTAATGAGGAAAACTACAAAAGGACAAGAAAAAACGCACAGCGTCTACCACCGAGATGAATTGCTGGATTATCCATACAACAAGTGTGTTATGATTATGTTTAATGTGGCGGCAACGGCCTGCGGATTAATGTTCAGCAACTCGAGAACCTCGTGTTAACAAAATAACAAACTGATTTACACTTATAACACTGACGATTAAATTTAATCATTTAAATTTATAACGACACTCTTAACAATCATTTAAATTATAAATTTTACAGATTCAGACCATCTTATGGCATGAAACTATAAAATTGAAAATTTTAAAAATGATGTGGTTTTTATGAGTTCAACACCCAACACTAGATATGTTTGAAAATATTTTTCAAAACGCTCAGCCTTTATCAAGAATTTGGCAAAGAGAAAATTTTAAATATGTCAACCTAGAAAGAGAAAACGAACTTGAACTAGATAAAAAGTACGTTTGAATTTTACGTTGTATTTCTATCGCGTGGTTATGCGATAGACTAATTTATAATTTTCCTTGTTGTCTAAACGACTAAATTGACTAATAAAATATTAAAATTTAACGGCGGTTGTTTAACTTAGAATTCGCTTCCAACACCTGTAGCCGTTTATCATTCAGTTCATTGAAAATTCGATCGCGACTCTGAAAACTGTTGCTTTCAAGATTTATTTTATCACTATAATCGTACTTTTTTTATACAAATTGACAATAATTATGACATTTTATTAAATATTAGGGCAAAGGAAAAAAATTTGCTTTCTTTTTTCATATTTAATCGCATAAATTAAAACTAAATAGACGTAGGATAACAAAATTAAAAGTGCTATAATATTATTAACAAAGCACCGGGTCCACAGACTTCAACTAAAGGACTTAGCCGAAAAGCATAAAAAAACCTTTTTTTTGTTCTTTAGAATAAAGCGAAAATATAAGGAACGGAAGGTTGGTCTTTATTACATTGTTATAATAAACATTTAAAAATTTTTAAAAAAATTAATAAATCCTCGTCGTAAATTACTCTATTTAAATTGTTAAAATAACATGCTTTCACGACACCTTCAGTTTTCGAAAAATTTTACATCAACATTTCTTTTTACAGTAAATAGTAAAACCGTTTCCGATCATTTTGGCCTGCCTATCCTTGCAGTTTTTGGACTTTAAAGAGGCGTGTCCTCTTCTCGTCATCTTCAGTGCGGAGTCTGTATGTTTAGTCTCGTCCATTTTATGGGTTTGATGAGAGATTGAAGTTCAATTTTTACTTTATTTAGAAATCGTGAAATGCGTTCTGGTGTGATATAGGTTTCAGAAAAACATTTTCTTTATCGTACCAACGTTTCTATCTTTATTGAGATCATCTTCAGGCACTCTCGATACGACACGCAAGAATGGCACAATTACACAGAAGACAAGCACTTTGAGCCTGAAGGTGATCTCAATAAAGATCGAAACGTTGGCACGATAAAGAAAATGTTTTTCTGAAACCTACATCACACCAGACCGCATCTCAGGATTTCTAAATAAATATCGATTAACGGTCACTAATCACCACACATTCAATTTTTACTTTTGTTTCCTATTTCTTTGTTTTCAAGTATTTTCATTTTTCATTTCTGTTTGTACATACAGGTAGTTTGTCCTAACATTCTTATTAAAAAAAACAGAAAACCAATTTAAAAAAATAAAAAGTAGACTGTTTTGTTTTGAAAATAGCTATTGACTTAGTTTGGCACGAAGGTTTAATACATAATCTTAAAACAATGTTCTGAACATAATATGCTGAACTTTTGACCTCCTATCTTTCGGAAAGGCTGTTCCAAGATAATCAACAGATCGAATGCTCTGAGTTGTTTGAAATCAAGGCTGGCGTACCACGAGGTAGCATCTTAAGCCCCGTGCTATACTTGCTGTGCACAAGTGACCTACCCACTAATGGAAAACATAACCGTCGCAACTTTTA